TGTAACTGCTTACAATGGGATTGTGGAATTTCCACCAAGGACTCAGGGCGTTTGTTTCAACTGCCTTGCCAAGCGATCGAACCATCAGCAGCACGATTGTGCAGTTGATCGTGCTAATTATCACATTATGGCAGCATTTTTTTAAATATACATGTTCATTTAATAAATATGCTTATTTTCCAGAAAATTTTGAAAAAAGCCCTACATGTTTCATGGCAATAGAATACATTTATTTATTTGCTCAATAATTTTTGTTACGAATTTTTTTTTGGTTCGTGAAGATAACATTAAATTCTGGCAACCTGAAAACGGGTTCATAAATGAGTTTTTTTTTTTTTTTAAGAAAGCCTCAGGAGGAGGTGTCTTTATCGCGCATCTACCCCGGAAAGAAAGCATCACCTCTGGAAACGGTTATATATCTGTTAAAAATCTTTTCAGAGCTGTGCTCATTTCCAAGACAGCGTTGCCTGTCAATCAACACACTGAACTCGTTTCTGACAAGTAAAACGCTGTGTTTGCTGCCATTGGTAATCTAAATAAAGTTTAGTTTTTTTTTAAAGTGTGCTCTCTTTAAACGGTGTATTTCCCGCCACCGCCCCCCCCCCCTTTTGCCAATTATATTCCGGTTGTGTTTTCAGCGTTACGAGACAAATACTTCAGTTTAACACTTCGACTTTCGCGACTAGTATTATTCATAATAAAGGCTTTGGGCTTAGATCGCGTAAGTATAAGGAAGACAAATACTTGTCAAAGTCGACCTCGGCAGCCGGCTGTGTATCCATCACCCCGTGTCTTGAGAACTGCCGCGGAAGGTGACATCGTAGAACTACTTCCGAGATTACACCCGTAGTCTCCTGCGGCATTTTCATCTGTCTCTGCTATCTGTGCTACAAGGTGGCCTATCCTGGCCAACTTGCCGCCATTCACTTGCATCGTCTGGTATTCCCATGCAATTTCCTACCAAACCTCTATCCAGGCTCAAACACACTTGGTTTCCAAGATCTGACGAGCTCAGGCACGTTCAGGGGCAGGCATCATCTTCCAAATTGATTGATGTTTCGAAGCGGTTTTCCCCATAGGCACTGGCTGGGCTTTGTAGTAAAACTAATTTAATTAAAATCAGATATTCGTATGCAGTCAGTTGTGCGGGGAGCAGCAGAAATAATACAAATTAATTTCTCAGCTCGCAAAGCACGAGTTTAAAATTCCTCTGCAAACTCAAAGGGTTTCTCGTTTCAATTGCTGTTAGCAATTTGGTGGGGTTCAATTAAACTAATGCAACAATAATCACAGGCATGTTGTTTGTTATGAGAGCTTTCTTCCTGGCCGATGAGAAAATAATTTAAAGATATTCAGAATTTTAAGTCCAGGATAAATTGCACATGTGTTGCCACCACTTACAGAAGACATTATCTTATGGAAATATTGCCTCAGAAGTTATGAATGAAGAATTAAGTTTCAAGTGATAAAACTCAAATTATGAAACATTTTACGAATACTTCACCTCATTAGAATGCTATTTTCTATAACATTGAATGATTTGCAGTTCTCAGATTGCATTAAGCAAAATCATAAACAAATAATAGAGCACACAGAGTAGATATGTGTTAATCTTCAGCCCCACTCTCCAGCCTTCTTTGTTAATGTATTCAATAATTTACGTTGGTTCACTCCCAGTGGTTGTTATTGCGACTGTGGCTATCATCTTGATATAATACGCTATTCAAATAAGAGGAGTCTGCATGTCTCGATGTCATGATCCAAATTTGAAAATTGACTTGCAAATTACCTGATTGTGAAAACCACGTGGCAACATCACCCCCTACTCGAGACAAATTACAATTTGCAGGCCAGTGCTTCGTTCATGTTGTGCCACACAGGGACAGCTGCCACTGGGTGCCCCCTTGTCCATGGCGCTTTAAGATGTATTTAAGCAATCTATTAAATGTAAATTTTCATCCAAATCTTACTTTTACCTCCAACCCACCCATCTAACCATTGCGCTGTATTCAACAAGGCAGAAGGCAGCACCGCTCACTGCACGTGTCACCACGCACACAATGACCACGGGCATTTAGAGCAGCTGAGCACTACCGCACCACTGGCAATCAGCAAAGCAGAAGTTAGCACTTCCAGTGGGGGGAGGAGGGTGGGGGGGGAGGCGTGGGAAGGTGTGGGGAGAGATGGGGGATCGAGGGGAAGAAGATATCACATGAAACCCACCCGGGACTCTGGCTTGTCAGAGTGAGAACCTGGATAAGGTTCAGCCAAGCATGTCTGTGAATGTCATTCAGCTGTTTCACACAAACCATGGTCGGCGAAAAATGCCTTGCACAAATATATGGTACCACTGTATAGGCAAGAGGATGTGTGTATGTTCGTAAATGTTGCTCATAAAATTAGTGACGAAAATGTTTGTGGACAAAGGGTTTATTTTTTATTTTTGTTCGTTCAACGATAACTATCGGTGGATTAAAGTATTCCAGCGTGATGACGGCTTGGACTACCCACCGAAGATCAAAGCATGCCAAGATTAAATTAACAGGCCTGAGTGAAGACGATGACTCAGATAGGTGCGTTAGTAATGTTTAACATGTAGGCTTTTGCGACCAATATTTTTCAAAATAAACGTTTTTGGGTTATATCGTGTAAGTATGTGTCATAATCTTACACCAACCGATACAGCCAGTAAGGATGATCACGTCAACAAAATGTGCCAATTAGTTACTACTTCAGCCCACCGGTGTGTTGGAGAGTAAATCCACAACATTTACAATTTGAGTAGATGTTTCGTTGGTAATTACATCCGGCATTATTAGAAGATATGCCCAACTAATTGGCACATTTTTTTTATGTGACAACCCTTACTGGCTTTTGTCTGGTGGTGGAGGGTTATGACGCATTTGTGATTACGCGATCTAATCCAAAAACCTTTATTATGTATTAGTGATGTTCTCACAGAACTCAGCGCACTGAGGAAGACCAAATATAGGAATTGGCTGTTTAAGGATATGTAAAGATGTACTGAGTTCACTGTTTGGATCTATCACACCACCATTTAATCACGTAGTGTGGACTAAATGTTGAATTGCTTGAGTCGGCTTGACTAAAAAAAAAAATACTCCATGAAATCCACAGACTAAGATTAACATTCCACAGGCTGTCGTAGATGTAAAACTGACTAAATATAAAATACTGACTCATTTCACATGGGTGTGTAGATCACAAAGGGTTTGTGTGAAATACTCACAATGCTATGAGATCCATGTGAAAGAGTGTGCGCAGGGACAGAAATACGATCTCTTCTCAAGCTGAAAGTTGGATCATTTTACATTTTTTGGCAGGAAAGCTACTTGACAAATGCGATTAACTCCATCCAGTTTCATTTCATCTTTTACATTATTTCTTTTGGTTCTGATGAATAATGCAACCTTGAGAATGTTGCTATCTGATATTCTGAACAACTTGGCCCGCAAAATGGGCACACTCCTCTGAATTGTCCCACTGACTTTTGTCCTTTTCTGATTTATTACTATCAAAAGAGTTTCTCGTTGATCGTCTCTCTGATACACTGCATAAAAAATTCAACAAGTACAATATATCCCACCCACCCTCCCCTTATTTTGAATAAAACATCGGACAAATTGAAAGCAACAATATAACTGCTACACAAATAAGGCAAAAATATCACTTTCTCCACGGACAGAAAAGATTTACCCAATGCGATCAATGAAATATCATCTCATTGGCAAAATGTTCCATTCAAATACCGTACATGTTATTAATCAATTGCCTCTTTGACGAAACGTGATTACTTATATCCTCCCCACATGCTAATTGGTTGTAGCAGATAGGATAACACACCTTAATTAGCCATCAATAATACGTCTGAATATAACTTTATAACATAGCTACTATTTTTTGTTCTGCTTTTCTGTCTGTCTGTCTAATTGCTGACAACTTTAAATAATGCCACTTGTGAACGCGATTCATGTTAACATAGTCACATCATCGCTTCGTTGCATGGACCTCACACGTACGTACGCATGTATGTTGAACTTATTTTGCTCCGTACGTAGCCAACCATGTTTATTGGATGTGTGGGGGAAGGACAACAAACTAAACACAAAAATCAGTTCTAAAGAAAATAGTTTTTCATTTAGATTTCAAAGTGCAGAGCTCCAGTGGCTTCCTAATAACGGAAGAAAGAGCGTTCCAGACGGCCGCAGAATCCCATCTGAAAGCGCCGTCTGCAGTGGCCGTATTTGTTTGAGGGCCAGCCAAAACATTGATTTTATCATCCAGACATCGGGGACATGGCCGAGTGATTGCAGAGGTTTGTGATTTGAATGTATGTATGTTGAACTTCTTTCACACCATACGAAGCCAACCGTGCTAATCGGAGGTGCGGGAATCGGTTCAAGCGCAGCGACGGCGCATTACAACCGGGAATACACCAGTTTCCTGGCTCCCTGTTCTGTCGAACATTCTGCCACCAAATTTCCGCAGAAACATGGGGCAACCTGCGAGAGAGTTTACACGCTTTCTTGCCAACGACAACCGCCTACTAATTAACAAAGATCTGGAGGCGAAATTGAGGTCGTTAATTCTGTATGGTGTTTACGTGGAGACACGTTTACCAACAATGCTCCTGAACAATGCACGAGTTGGCATGAAATATTTGCGTTTTTGCATTGAACGGTGCTCAATTGTTTCGATGGAGTGCGCTTGTCACCAATATCTGGTGACCCAGCAGCATGTGTTTAATGATGACACCCAGAATGTTGAAACCAGTTCCTAGAGTTTGGTTGCTCGCACACATAGCTTGCTGTTTAACATGAGTCGAGAAAAAACCGATTAACGAATGTTTTTTTTTTCATTTATATGTAGAGGCACAGAATAATGGTTCTGTTTCTATATTTTTTTCTTGCCGAGCAAGAGTGACCTGATCCTCACCCCACCATGAGGGGTAACGCTGGAAGGGGAACGCCGTCGCTTACCTGATACGTCTCCGCGTTGTGGTTGCGGCAAAACGGGTAGAAGGCCCCGACCTGCATCCAACGGCGGCACAGCTCCTCCGAGGGCTCGTCAAAAAACCCACAGATGTCCGCTCCGATCTGCGTTGATGGCACAAGGAGTGGCGGAAGATTGGTGGCGGGCGGGGAGGAGGGGGTTGGAGTGGGGTGGGATGCAAGGTGGGGGGAAGGAACGTTACTAAAATAACATCTTGACTTAAAAGCTTTCGTAACTGCAGGAATTCATATTCTTTGGGTCTTTTGGTAAAGTCACGTAGATAGGTTCAAAGAAAATAACAAAAAAAACTACGACGTTTCTATCACAAAACAAGCGTTTGTCATCCGGACGAATGCTTGTGTGATGCCGCCGCCACGAAGCCGTTCGGCAGGCACCAAATCCCCGACCTCGCCACCACCAAGCAACGGAGCCGACCCCGCGTCCCCCTCACCTCACCTCACATGAACACACCCGCACTCATTTCCCCCCCCCCCCATAGAGCTCCGAGGGGAGGTCGCCTGGCCGACCGGTTTTTATCCGAGAGACCCTTATCGGGATTAATTCTCACGGTTTCCGGCGATCAGGGAATTGGATGACCTCCCCCGTGCTACGTGGCACCGCGGCGCTGCGGCCGGCCTTAATATGGTGTGGTCGCGGCGTGGGGCATTCGGCCACCGCGGTTGAGGCGCATTTCCCCCCACACACACTCCCACGGGTCGACGGGGCAAGCAGGGGAGGCACGGGACAGCATGAATAGCGGGGTCACAGGGGCTGTTGCGCATAGTCATGGAGGGTTGGGATAATTGCGCTTGAGCGCGCAGGCCCCATTGTTAGGAAGGGTAAGGGAGTAATTAGGATGTACGCCGCCAACGTCGCTCACTGATTAGCATATCAACAGCGCCCGGGAACCGCCGTGCGCGGGCTTGGGGTGCACGAGCCCATTGTTCAGCGCAGCATCCCCTTTGAGGTAGGGAGGATAAATAGAGGAGCGCAGAGGGGAAATCGCTCTCTTCTCTCCAGCGCCAGGCGACAGGACGCTCTCCAGTCCAGCGACCCGATCGTCCGTGAGACGCATCGAGGTACGCTGCGAGCACGGGATCAACGAACCGCCGTGGGCATCCAGCAGGAAGTAAGTAGGTGAATTAGAATCATAGCAGATAAATCGGGAATAGGTATAAAGGTATCAGCGTAGGCCAGCCTCGTCGACTCACTGATTTAACATTAAATTACCAGGTATCAGATAATAAATCATTAATAGCGAAGCGTGGTCTCGCGTGATATTGTCGTGCAGTGTGAGCGTGTGGGTGCGCGTGTGTACACTGTGGTTCACCACGTGAGTGAGCGCTGCGTAGAGCGGCGCACGAGTGGGTGTCGCGTGTGTGCAGGTGTGTGCGCTCAGTAGTGTGGGTGAAGGGGTCGGTGCGTCCGCAGGTCCCCGATCCGTCTGTCGCCGCCGGGACTCGCGCAGTGTGAGGGCAGCGTCGTTCGCCCCCGACCCCCGTTTAATAGCGCGTGATCCGTGGAGAGACAACGCAGCGTCTGCAGGTGAACGAGGGCGTGCGGCGAGCTATGCCTCTCACACGAGCTCGCGGAGGGACGGACCAGGGAGGGGAGCCGTCGGGCGATGAGCCCAGCGACGGCAGCAGCTGCTCGCAGAGCAGCGAGGGGTCGGCGCACGGCGGAGCCCCTGCCATAGGCACGGAGCAGGGAGGGACTCCGGGGACCAGCGGCCCCAACAACTTGGTGTCAGAAGTGGGATAACTGCGTACTGGGGGAGGGAGAGGGAGCGGACAGGGGACCCGCTACGGAGCCGCCCCCCCTCCCCGGGCATGTTATATGTGCGACCGCCGAGGGCATCTAGTGAGAGACTGTCCTGAAATCACCCGAGCTAGGCAGACGCGGGGGTTAAACTCCAACGCCCCCTAGAAAGCGGACCAACTAGGGGTGCAATCGACGCGGTCCCGATACAAATAGACGATAATGAGAATAATGGCGAGCGAGTGATCTCCACACAGGTTCCAGCAACAACGCCCACAGAAACGGTGACTCCTGGCGACTGGCTACGGGAGCTGGTGGCGGGGATCACGGGGGCCACGTCGCTGGTGGAAGGAGAGGTAAACGGAGTGCGTACCCGAATCCTGCTGGACACGGGGGCGGTGGCCTCGCTCGTGAGCGCAGCGCACTGCAGCACGATCGGGGTCGACGTGCGTCACCTGCAGGCACCGGACCGCGCGCTGCACACTGCGAGCGGAGCCGGAATGGGCCTGCTGGGGAGAGCCACCTTAGAGGTCCGCATAGGCAGCCAGGGGTGCACCCAGGAGTTCTACGTGTCGAGTGCGTTGTGTCACGAGTGTATCGCAGGTACCGACCTCTTAGAACGGCTGGGACTCAACGTGCAACCCCGCCAGCGATGCGCCACCGTGGAGAGCAACGGCGAGCGGATACCGTTCCTGGGACGAGAACCGACGCGCCCCCGCTTCACACCTGTGGCCGCTATCCTGGCGACGGCAGTCACCATCGGGCCGCTCACCGAGATGCTGGTGCCGGTGGCAACATCCCCCACCGACCCCGCGCTCCGACCATCAGGGGAGGTAATGCTAACTCCTCACCCGGAGTTGGCAAAACGGTATGGGATAGTGGGATCCGCCACGTTGGTAAACGCAGATGGGGACCGATTGTTTATGCGGATGTTTAACCCCCACAGTTCCCCAGCGATACTGCGACGGCGCACCCCGATAGCCACCGTACACCCCCTGCACGCACGCCACTCTAACGACTCGGTGTTCGCACTCTGGGCTGAGGACACCGGTCGTCCTGAGGGTGACCAGGACCTGGCCTGGCGAGTCGGCCTGACTCCCCAAGCCGAAGTCGTTCCCCTGCTCGACGCGTTACATGTACCATGGGCGGATTTACCTAAGGGAGAGGCCGATCGGCTGCGCGAGTTACTGCGGGAGTATGCCAACGTGTTCAGCGAACACGACTCGGACGTGGGTCGGACCGACCTTGTTAAGCACCAAATTGACACCGGTGCAGCCCGACCCATCAAACTCCCTGCATACCGAGTGGGCGCACCCGAACGCACCCAGATCAAAGAGGCGGTTGGGGACATGCTTCGCGATAACATAATTCAGCCCTCGGCGAGCCCCTGGTCAGCCCCGGTGGTACTAGTAACGAAAAAGGATGGGTCAACCCGGTTCTGCGTCGATTATCGTAAACTGAACGCAGTCACGCTCGGCGACGCCTTCCCCATACCCCGCATCGACGACACTTTTGACAGCCTCGCCGGAGCGCGATATTTTTCCACCCTCGATCTCGCGTCCGGGTACTGGCAGGTGGAGATGGCGGAGGAGGATCGGCCGAAAACCGCATTCACCACCCCGATGGGACTATTCGAGTTTCGAGTACTCCCGTTCGGACTCACCAATGCACCCGCGACGTTCCAGCGGCTGATGGAGTTGGTGATGCGGGGTTTGCAATGGGAACAGTGCCTGATTTACTTGGACGATGTGATCGTGTTCAGTAGATCTTTGTCTGAGCATTGGTCCAGGCTACGAGAGGTGTTCCAGCGACTGCGAGCGGCTCATCTCAAGCTCAAGCCACGTAAGTGTTACATCGCACAACGCGAGGTGGGGTACCTCGGGCATCGCGTCAGCGAGGCAGGCGTGCGTACCGATCCGGAGAAGGTACGCGCCGTAGTGGAGTGGCCACGGCCAAGGAATCTGACGGAGATCAGATCATTTTTGGGGCTCGCCACCTATTATCGTCGATTTGTAAAGGGATTCAGCGAGATCTCACGCCCCCTCACCCAACTCACTTCCCCTAAGCACCCCTATCAGTGGACGGGGGCCTGCCAGACGGCCTTCACCACTCTCAAAGACCACCTCACCCACGCCCCCACCCTCGCTTTCCCCGATTTTACCACCGATTTTATTTTGGACACCGACGCCTGCAGCAGCGGGCTGGGCGCGGTGTTGTCACAGGTACAGGATGGGACGGAACGAGTCATCACGTACGCCAGCCGGACCTTGAGTGGGGCCGAGCTGAACTATTGCGTGACCCGCCAAGAGTTGTACGCCGTGATTTTCGCATGTAAGCAGTTCCGGCCGTATTTGTACGGCAGGAGATGTCGCGTACGCACTGACCATTATGCTCTTCAGTTCCTTCTTACATTCAAGGAGCCGCGGGGGCAGATGGCCCGTTGGTTGGCGCAGTTGCAGGAGTACAACCTGCAAATCGAGTATCGGGCTGGCCGGACGCATGCAAACGCGGACGCCTTGTCGAGGCGGCCCACGGTGTACGCCGAGACAAGGGCGGAGGAGGCCTGCCCCTGTTTCACGGGGGGACGCTGCCGGCAGGCAACGGACCCCCGAGAGGCCGCGGCCACTGACCCCCCCCCAGCGAGAGAGAGTGCAGTGTGCGCCACAGAGACCCTCACAGGTGGCACCGAGGATCCCGTCGACCGCCCAGCAAGCGCGGGACCCGCGGCTCGGGACCCGATCGGACGGATCCAGGAGGACGTCGGCTGCGCCTTCCCGGGCCTGAACGACGAGCAGCTGAGACAGACCCAGCAGCGAGATCCGGATCTGGCGGCCGTGGAGGCGGCACTGCGGGAGGAAAAGAGCGCCCTACCAGGACCCTGGAGCGGTTTGTATGCCCGGTTGTGTGTGCAGAACGGAGTGGTACGGGAGTTAACCAAGGCCGGCCAGCCGGGGTGCATCTGTGTTCCTGCCCAGGTGCGACCCCAGCTGCTACGGCTGGTGCATGACCACCCACTCGGGGGCCACGATGGGGAACGACGCACTCGAGAGACCCTGCGTCGCCAGTATCTCTGGCCCAAATTGGCACAAGACGTGGCGGCCTGGGTACAGGGCTGCCGCGCCTGTCAGCAGTGCGGGCCGAAACCGGCACGATACCAGGTACCCCTAAGGCCGTTCCGCGTCAGCCGCACGAATCAGCTGGTCGGGATCGATCTACAGGGGCCATTCCCACGATCCCATCGAGGCAACCGGTATATTCTAGTCGCAGTAGAGTATTTCACCCGCTACCCCGTGGCAGTGGCCATCCCTGATAAAACGGCCTTGGTGGTGGCCCGGGCATTCGTAGA